CGTATCTTGGGCAAAGGACATGGATTTCTTCTTTCCTTGAAGCATGATTTCTTCCCACTTGATCAACCAAGCCTCCAGATCTCGTGGAGTGCCTCTGAAAGGTTTCATGTGCTGGTTATAGTCATCTCGTATTCGTCGCTGGATTTCTCGCGATCCTTGGCCAACTTGTGTCTTCAAGTTATTGTATGCTTCCTTCCAACTGTGTGTCACGTGCACACAGGTCTTAAGATAGCTGTGGCACACTGTCCGCTTCATCCATTCAAAGATTTTGTCGATGTCTCTACGCTGAACCTCCCACTCACTGAACTCCATTTTGTAGTTATTGAGACGTAGGTTGAAGTCATTTCTTGCCCTCTGTTCAGTGCGATCATCAGTTATATCTTCAGTCGCGGTGGTTTGGGTTGATTGAGCAGAGTTCTGACGCGTTCCTTGAGCTGCACCTACACGGTTTTGTGTAGTGTTCTGGGATTCAGGTAGATAGTCCTGTATCTTTGGTCGAACAGGTTTCTTGATTGGTCTCTCAGTTCCCTGGAGAATGGGAAGAAGATCATTGGCTCTGGCCCGATTGAGAAGTTCGTTTTGCCAATCGTCCCAATCCTCTGGGAATTGAGCTTATACTCAGTGGCAATGTTGGACAACATGTTGATATAGAGCCGGTAGGGGTAGTCAGACTCTTAATTGTCGGATTGGTCGGTTTATTCCAGGCCAATCCTGAAGAGTGTTTTACTAGGATCAAAGAAAAGAAGTGACTAGCAAGATTGTATGTATTGAGTTCTGTGTCTGTCTTTCAAGTTTTTTTTTTTTTTAAAGCCGGGTCCTTTATAGACACCTTTGGCGGGGTGATTTGTGAGCTATCAGGAGGGGTAAATATTGGGCTGAAATCTAGGTGCCCAGATATATGCCTAAAGGTGCCTTTTAGACCTGTAAGATTGAACAGTCGATCTTTCTGCCTCGTTTGAAAGCCGGATTATCTGACAATATCCACAATATCTACAATGAACCACATTCGGCAACCTTTGCGCACGTGGATTGAGAACTAACCTAACTAGGATGCTCACAAACCACAGCACATATCGTTCTTGGGGACATGAATGTCCACCATCCAGCCTGGGTTGGCCCTGGCATCAAAATCGACAAACAAGCCACAGAATTGCTTGAGATCATGGATCGCTATGGGATCGAGCTTGCTACTAAAGAAGGACTAGTCACCTGGGAATATAGCCAATCACAATTGATAATCGATCTAACATTCTTATCTATAACCTTATTGTTGGTTTAGCTACGTCCCGTATCACGAAGCGTAGGATATCGTAAGCTAGGGCGATCCAACTGCCCTACGTGGTAAGCCTTGCTATATAGCACGAAATGTAATATTATGAAAGACTGACCGGTGGAAAAAAAAACCTCGCGCACCTATGAAAACGCACCCACGCAGGTAAAAAGTACTGCTGGAAAGAATCTCAGTGAAAATAGACCTCCTTGACAGTATATTTACCAACTTTCGCCTGCTCAATCGACGTGGTTGAAGCATGGGCCCGAAAAGAGGTAAAAAGGGCACTCCGTGGCCAGAACCACGGTTTGCAGATGACCCTGATATACGCGCATATGTAGCTGCAGCCATCAAAGATCTCGAGGCACTGAAGAAGCACCAAGAAGCACTGGAGATTGGCATGCCCCGTGAGCTCTCTACTTCCGTGGTTGACGCGTTCTTATACCTGGCTCGAAGGGTGAAGAATACGCCTACGAATGAGCAACTAGCGCAGCGGCTCGCGAAGGTCGAATTACACGTGGAAAAGACGCAGAAAGAGGTATCTCAGGCCTCTCGAGAGATTACTACGACCAAAAGCAACACGAACCGCCTGGTGGAGGCAATATGCCACCCAACATCCCCAGGGACACGTACCGCGAAAAATTCTCCAAGCTTCAGTCACGTGACAACTAGCTCAGAGTCGTACGTACAGGCCTGGGGACGTAAGGTGCCCTCGAACCCTCCCACGGTCCCTAGCGTGGGATTGAGTAGTGGAGGAAGCTTGCCATCAACCCCATATCCAAGCCAGGAGGACCTAGAGGTCTATCTGGAACATACCGATCCAAATATCCTCAACCCGATACGTCGATTCCCGGATAAGGTGGTGGAGAAGGCAAATCTCGCAATACGCAGCACTCAAGACACCACCATCGCACATCGACGAATTGCGGCAGCCCGTATACTACCTAGTGGCGATATTATACTCTTACTAGGCACAGTGGACGACGTCGACCAGCTTACCCGCAAGAAGGACTGGATTAGGGCATTCGGAAATGAAGCACGTATACGAAAACGTACATGGGGCGTCGTCGTACACGGCGTCAACACGAATATCAACCCCAAACAGCCTCAATTCATAACCACGCTTACCTCAGAGAACGCCCCGGTGTTCGCGCAGCTTCCAGCCTCTATGAATGTCACACACACGGGCTGGCTCCTAAGCGAGTATAAGATCAAGGAACAGAAGCTCACAAATGCCCACCTTGTAGTCATATTTGATGATGAAAGGATTGCTAATTTTGCAATCCAACGCGGCCTTATTATTAAGGGAAGACAGCACAATGTCTCAATATACAACAAAGCAGCCAATCTCCAGCAGTGCTTCAAGTGTCAGATGTATAAACATATCGCCAGGCACTGTCAGCGCCAGATCTGCTGCGCGTACTGCGCTGGATCTCATGATACAGGGGATTGCCCTACACCGAAAGAGAAAGAATACGCTAAATGTGCTAATTGCACCGCAGAAAATGTCCATATCAAAGATCCTGCCAAGAGACTCAATACGAAACACTTTGCGTACGCGAGGGAGTGCCCGATACGAGCTACATGCCTCGCAGAGGCACATCAACGACGTACATACGGCCCACAATATCACACTCCTGTGATACGACCTGGCAATAGTCAGCCCGGAGCCATCTCACCAAATGACCCTACACCAGCTGAAGCAGCCAATACAGAGCGAAGTCCTCGCGCACCGGCTCGTACAGCCACCACACGTCGATCTGCCAACTCAAGAAGTAAGAGCGCAGCAGCCGCCCGAAAACGAGTGGCAGAACGATCTGAGCCCGAGCCGATAAGCCCTACATCAGGTGACCCTACCAATAGATCCT